GCTGGTTTTTGTCAGGCCACCAGTAATGCCTGCTAGCCAACTACTGGACAAGCCAAGTCCAGCCCATCAGCCAGCCAAGTAAACTGTGGATGCTGTTAGGAAAGGAAAGAAAGTAAACTCGAGTTTAGTAGACAAGGTTTGCTACTTAATCAGCATTAAATTCAACCCACTCTCTTCCAGGGCAGCTCAGGAAGCAATACAGCCACTATGAAGAAGCAGAAGAACAGACAGGACCTGACTTCCAACTAATGCAGCGAAACATCAAGTTAAGTACTTTCAACCACAGTCATCCAACCTGAAGCGCTGCAGATAAATGCAGGGAAGACACCACTGACTTGGGCTGGGCGCAGAAGAGTTTATTACCTGAGTCACCACCATCCACTCCAGAATCAGGCTGGCTCCTGCAGAATCATTCAGGTGACCTGCACCATGAACCCAGCACTCTGGGAAGGTTTGCAGCAGATGTGGTGCTGCACTGCAGCCAATGGCACCCAAAGCCAGAGACCAACAGAGGAGCAAGAGTCTGTCTGACTGCTCAGACACTGAGACAGCTTTGACGAGTTCAGTGAGGCCAAAGCTCACCCTATTTAACCAGTTCTTTCCACTCCGCACAACTCCAATTTTAGCACCACAGTAACTTTCAGAATAGCTCTGCACAGTGAAAGCACAAGTCAGGCAAGATATATTAGTTCATATATTAGTTCTACCTACTTAGTACCATCTTCAAGACAGCAATAAATTGGGTGTACTGCTTCCAGATTACAACTGTCTCTACCATCACTATAGCCAGGTTTGCTGTCTAACATCACAAATGCTGTCAGACACAACCTAAATACGTATCCCAAGCTCTGCTTCTCCCTTTTTATATCACATCCTCAGCCACTACTCGCTGTCAAAATCTCTGCATTTTGCTTGGATGTATGGCAAGCAACATGGTCTGGATGGCCAACTACCTTCCTCGGAATAATGATAATTCTGGTCCAGATACTTTCAACTGTCTGAAATCACACAAAAATTAAGACAACTTAGTGGACCAGCATCACCTTTGAGCAGCTGAGGATCCCTTCAGCAATTCTTAGTTTCATGGATTGCTTGGGCTAACTCAGCCTCTTAAGTCCCCAGTTAACGAAAGGCTGATCACATTGCTTTGCTGCTGATTGCCACTATTACCCTCAGCACCACTGGCTTTATGCACAGCTCACAAGCTTAAGAAATCGCCTGTCTTGGGATGCAATTTTTGACACTATGCAATCAAGTCACATTTTTCCTATTGTAAAATCAGGCCATTCCTGATTAAAAAAAATTCCACGCATAGGCCTGTTTCAGTTACAGAAATATACAGCACTTAAGAATTAAGTCCATGACTAAAGGGCCATTGCTAATGATTTGCAGATACTTAAAATTCTGAGAAGGGTACAAGGAATAATCTTTGTTGGCTTACTGCTGCCACATGCAAGACAAGCTCCATGAGTAAACATCTTTCTATTTTTATTAGTGGTGTGCAGCATCATGTAAACAGCAGCTAATCTACAGGCTTGCCAGCACCCAACTTTTAAACACAGGCAGTCAACAGTATCAAAACTATACTATGTGTGCAGACTGTTACAGGAAATAGAACATAAAATGTAAAGTGCCTCATACACATCCATCTGCCTTCCTTTCTTAACTTGTCAGCTTTTGGGTTTTAAACTGCTCTAGATAAAGTGTTTCAAACATAGTAATGCACTATACAAGTTTGTGAAGGAAACCACAGAAGGCACTTACGTGCTACCACTAGACAGGGTCAACAACAAATTGTGTTCAATAACAAAATATTAAGTCCACAGACAATTATTTTGCAGAACGAAAAAAGAAACAATACTCCTGTTCAACAAACAACTGTTTCCCTCTAAATTATACTATGTTCTTTCTAAATGCTACTATTTGCTGCTCCACACACTATATAGAACAGTAATTTGTTACTCTGCCTTTTCTGTTCCACAGTAGAGTCACCTTTAATTAAGAAAGGTAAAGGACTATGGTTAAAATGCACATTTACAGTACAACGTTTAAAGGACGGCTCTGAAGCTTTCCAAAGTTTGATCTCAATCAATTCCGTCATTAGGTGCCAACAGAAGATCCAGGACAGGGGCTGAGAGATGCTGCGGGGAACCGAGCCAAACCGCTCCCCCGCGGGCCCGTGACAGCGGCTGGCCGGGCCCGGGTCACGGGCCCGGGGCAGGGCTGGCTCTCCGCTCCCGGGGCACGGCTGGCTCTCCGCTCCCGGGGCAGGGCTGGCTCTCCGCTCCCGGGGCAGGGCTGGCTCTCCGCTCCCGGGGCA